CAGTACATTAATAACAGTGACACAAACTGGGTGATACTCACAACAGCGTCTCCTCCATCACACTCCAAATCCAAATCCAGGTTATCGTAGCGATCCTGTCATTAAAAAGTATTTTAAAACACATTAACAGCCATTTTCAACCGTCTGTGTCAAAGACAAAATGTTGAAGAAAACAGGTTCAGCACGAACATTTTCATCATTAACTCACCATCTGTGTTCGCCCTCGGTTAGTGTTCAGTGATTCCGTTTTGTTGTTGTTGTGTTACATAAATATCAGACTGATTTGCAGTTTTCCACTACATGGCTGTAACATTCAACATAGAAAACAAACAAACAAATAAACAGAAGTTATGAGACTCCCTATTAGAGATGGAAAATATAATTAATGTAAATATATCATCAAATTACATCCATGTATAATAATCATAATGACAAACATATAAGCAAGAGGGAGGGAAAGCTTTTATCAGGGATAAAATTCATAATAAAGTTGGAGAATAAAAGAAAAGAAAAAATAAGCATATTTTAAGGTTATACATTCTTCATTTGTGACCATCATTGTAATTTTCTCCAAAATACGGGATGTTTTAAAGGCTCTAATATTTCCTTATCATATTTAGTAAATTAGCTAAAAAATTCTGACTCAGAACCAAACAAATGATGTGGTTTAGGGGATATCACTCTCTTCTATATCAATTAACTTATAAAATGAGAAAAGTAAAACAGATATCTCAGCCCAGAACGATTTTGAAAAGGGACACTGATAAAATAAATGAGTTAAAGTGCATTCTGGTGAAACATCTTTTATACAGTTGGATAAAAAATTAGTTACAAAGGTTTAATAAATGAGTTTTAGAAAACCTTCAGTAATCACTTAGCTCAATTCTTGTTTGCCATGTTTGATGAAGCTTTAAAAAAAAAAAAAAGAACTGCCTCCTATACTTCGTCAAGGCCTTATTAAATTGATCCTTAAGCCAAAGGAGGACGCATTGAGCACTTAGAATCGGAGACCAATCAGCCTATTAATTAGTGATGCCAAGATATTTTAACTGATATTTTCTAAGGGGTTAAAAGCGGTATTGAATGAGGTTATTGATGAACAAGTCTGGTTTTATGTCTTCCGTAATATTATCCATCCATTATCTATACCCAACCACTGCGCCGCTGTGCACCAATATCAGACTAAATATTGAATTTAGTTGATACGGTGCTATTCCCCTGGCAGAGACGGTGGTGTATACATGTACATGTTGTACCTTGTGTTTTTTGTATTTTAAAAAAGTATGTACGAGACCAGTATCAATAAAGCGAGTCTGAAGGAGTTGTAGTGATATGGATGTAGTGCGTGGTGCCAGCGCGAAGCGCGTCTCCTGCTGCACAGCTTAAAGCTAAGCTTTGTCACACGGTACTCGTGCGTTTTAAACAATATATATGGTTGAAATGCTTTAATATTTATAGCTGGTAGTTAATTCGGCACCATAAAAAGTGACCAGAAAGGAGAATGTGAAAGCCTTTGGCAGTGTCGCACCTTTGCGCGCAACATGTGGCCATTTCCTGGTGTCAGGACGTACCAGCGTAAACTCGATTGTATCATAAATGCTAAATATACTAGTATATAAACTGATTGGTTCAATTTGGAGCAGCACTATATTAAACCATCGGATCCAGATTTTACTCACTTACCTGAGTACACGCCCAGGAGAAAGCGTCCGTCTCTCCCGGGAGCTGGACGATGCTGGGGCTGCGTTCAGGTGCTGCTCGGAAATACAGATTTTCTCGACAGCCCCAGGATACAAATTTCACAAGATTGGACTGGTAGACTACTGAATGATGAGTCACCCTTAAGTAGTCTACCAGTCCAATCTTGTGATCAACAAAATTGAATGTATTTAGTTTGGATCAAATATGACAAATTTTGCTTTCATGGAAATTTATTCATATAAATTGGTTTTAAGAAAAACATGTTTTTAATTACCTTTATTTTTAATTTGAAATACTAAGCCTACTTTACATACAAATCAGTGTCCTATGCAGTGCAACACTTTAATTTTATGTGGATTTCCTTTTATAAACAAGAAAATGATGAAGTTTATGGAACACTAAGATTCCTAATATTCCGACCCTCTCATGAAGCTGGGGAGGACAAAAAATAAAGTACCTCTAATTCTAATGTAGTCCAATACAACACCACTTTTAACTATAAACACTTTTTGAAACATTTTGAGCTTCATAAACACAGATGTTAAAGTGGAAGTGCTGCGTTGAATTGCACACACTTGTACAGGTGTACCTACTAAAGTGACTGGTTAAATGTACAGTATATAGCACCTTTGATACAAGTTCATGCTATTCAAAATGATTTACAGATAAACAATAAGAAAGAATAAGCCAATTAGATAAATGAATAATAAAACCAAAGATCATTAAATACAAATAAATAAATAAAATAAAACTGAATGTGTATTGGACTACTTAAATTACACATGAACCAACATGAAGCAGGAGCAGCTCAGTGAACAGTCAGGACATTCTGGACTCTGTTTAACACTGATTTATATTGTTGTTCTGCTGCCGCACCAGAGAATAAAGTCAGTCTAACATTTGATCGTGTGGGCAATTACATTTGCCACCATGAAAAAGGTGCACTGTAGTACTTCCTCAAATTGCACTACACATTTGGGTAGGAAGGGGAAAAACAATATTCTGTTACACAAAACTGTGCAGGACCCCTGCTTCCTTCCTTCCTGTTGAGTTGCTTCCTTTAAAATATTGGTCATTTTACATCTTTGTTCCCCCAACTGGTATTGAAATGAAGCCATCAGAGAAGTGTGAGGACAAGGATTTTGTATTTAGTTTATTAGATACTTTTAAAGGTAAAATCTTAATTTAAAATGCAATAACCTGTCATGTAGTGGAGTAAAAAGTGCAATATGTGTCTGATATTCATGCCCCATAGCTGAACAGGGTCTCTACCAAAATACTAATTCAAACAGAATCAGCCTTAAAACTCTGAGCATTTTGGTGAGACCTACTTATAGACCTGAAATCATTCACACAAAATATGATAATCAGAAGTCTACTACTGACCAAAGTATTATGCATCATTAGTTAGGTAAATCCATGTCTTCTTATTTAGAGCTTAAAAACAAAGTATTTTGAGTGCACATTGTTTATTGTCAGAGAATTTTCTTTCCATATCCCACATTCCTTTTTCATTCCATTACAATTTGAAATTAAAAGAAAGCCTTTAATATATTCAGCTCACACAAAACGGATTACATTTTAAAGTGGGTAATTTTTCAATATTTGCTCAATACATTTGCAAGTTTATCTCCACCTAAATTCAAGGCACAAGTAAATATTAAGAGTAGAATATTACCACTATCATATAGATGCTTACCCCTGTATGTGATTTAAATATTTAAACTCCTTTCTTATATTTATTGCACATTTGACATTACTGAAGCAAAGAAGAAGCAGACTATATTGATAATCTTTGGTTAGTGTAGTGATCAAGTGTCTTCCTAAATCCTGAATGTAGTGTGTAAGATCTAGAGGATTACTCTTTCCAGGAGAGAAAATAGAGCATTCCCTGCTCGTCACCACAAACCAGCTCGTTGGGTTTTTCAGGGTTCACCTCCAGAAGCAGAACACGACTTCCACACACAAACATTCCCACCTGAAGTGAGACAGAGAGAGAAGAAACGAGGTGCTGACAAACAGATTCAAATAGTCTACAAATTAAACACCGTTTCAGGGAAATTCATACAGTACATTTGTCTTATCTAAACTAAACTTATCTTTAAAATGATAATGTACCTGTTTCTTGGTGTTTCTGTCCCACAGCTTCACTGTTCTGTCGTAGGAAGCTGAGATGATGGTGCTGGCAGTGATTCTCAGCGCAGTGATCTTGTCACTATGCGCCTGAGGACAAAACATCATCAATGAAGTTTTCTTGTATCAAAAAAATGCAATTTCTTTTCCCCTGAGTAAAATTAAAGACTAATCTCTTATCTTCTGTTTCAGAGTCCTAAGTTTCTTACAGGTTTTCTGCTGCTCCACGATGAAAACTCGGGAGGCTGACTGAACCACATGTTACCCTTCACATCTCCACACACCACAAACGCTGAAATAACATGCAACGCATTAGATAATCACAAAATAAACAAGTCAACAAAAAGCTGGCATGGACAGAAGTAGTAGTTGTTGTAGTAACTGGTTATATTTGAAGTAAGTGTAGTAACTGTAACAGCTGTTTGTCTGCACCTTTGTCCATAGTCACAGCTGTTATCAGGCTCCCGTTCTCCTCATCTTTCTCCATTGTCATCGATCTCAGAGTACGAGATAAGGGAGTTTTGTGGCCCATGGCAAACTGAAGAAAGAAAGGACAGAGGTATCTGTTAACATTTAATAAAAACAAAGTTTTTGGTGCACTACACTTCTGATTTGACTTCATTTTTAAACGAGACGCAGCACCAGGCAAGACTTAGACAGACAAGAAGATCATTGGAAAGAACAGTAGAGGTTTTGTTTTGATAGTCGTGGGTAAACTCACAATGAAGCCGATCACAACTCCTCCGTTGTCCTCACCCAGTATCCACGAGCTAATCTCGTCGTTTTGGAACATCCTCAAAATTCTGACCAGTTCACTCCAACTACAACAATACAAAAGTCACTTTCAGCACTGGTGTATATATTTGGGAAAGGGAAAAAAAATCTTGGCATTTAAGAAACCTATGAAAACAAATATTACATTTAAAAACTAAATCCTGTGGTCCTGTAAATATATCTATAGTGTTCATCAGTTTCAGCTAACTAGAGCTGGTAAACTGTACGATAGTATGTGTTGTTACGGATTGGTTTTGTAGTCCCAGTTGTCTTTGTCCTCAGCTGTGACATCAAATATCAATCCACTGCTGGCCACGCCAATCAGGGCAGAGCAGTAGGTGAGGTGGATTGTAGGGTCTTCCACCGTGTATGTGGTCACCTTCACCAGGCTGGAAGAGAAACACAGTAGTAATCCCCGTCTGGACTGATTTAAATTTAGGTCATGGGATGCGCCGAGAGATAATGAATCAATTGACACAATCGGATAATGTGTAATTTTCAGTGCAAGGTTCACTGCTGCAACAAAACTTTGCAAATGTAAAAATGTTTTTTTTGTTTATTTAAATGTATTTTCTAAACTGACTAAATAAAAGTAAAAATAAATAAATGACAAAAGTTCAGTAGATTGTAGCTTAGTAGTGTGTTGTTGTTGGTCACCTTGCATTGCTGTGTTGTTGATTCCACACTAGCTTCCAAACATCAACAAAAGATTCTGTGTAGCTGACAGCAAACTGGTTGTCAGACATGGAGCAGATCGCAGTGATGGTGTGGTCTGAAGCCTGATATGCACAGACAGACACATCATGTAATTACACAAAAACAGGCATGTTACACGTACTATTACATCCCTTTTCTTGTGCATTTCATCACCTGCTTGTGGCTAACCAATGCACTGTGCTGCCACAATTCCAGTAAACCGGATTCATAACCAACAAGAAGCAAATCATCTTTGTGAGCGAAGCACACAGCTGTGACAGGACCTCTGAGGCTGGGAGGACTCTCTGTGTGGAAAAGACACAATACCGATAGCAAACATCAGACACCAAACAAAACCACTTCAGAATAAATCATGCTGTACCAGGAACGCCTTCACTGACTTGCAGAAAGTAACTACTGTTAGTGGTAACAGATAGAGAGGAGAGTGTATGGGTGACCTGGAACATTGTAACTTGATTATTGGATAACTGAGAGCCTGGGATTTGAAAACACATGACAACTTCCTGGGAACTTTCCTCATAACTTCATAAAAATAGCTTGTTAATCATTAGGATATTTCCTAGAAATCCCTAAGCAATTTATCTCTATTTAGAAAGGAAAACTTATTTAGTACCTGCTCAATCTATTTGAGCTGTTTTTTGTTTTATTGGTACCTTGAAAATTAAGCTTTGAAATACACAATGTGAATGCAGAATATATTTGCAATGAGCTTAAACTAAAACTGCATATGAAAACAGTTTTGGTGTGGCTGGTTTGTAAAAGCTGCTCAGCCTGCAGCTGAAACTATCACACTAGCAGTTGGCTGCAACATGATGGAATTTTGCTTTGAATCAACAGTTCATCAATGCACACTGAACCATTTTCCTTTCTTAACTCTATTATATGGAGGCAGAAGGTATAGTATTACTTGCTGTCCACGTCCAGCATCGCAGCGAGCAGTCCTCAGAAACACTGAGGAATTCTGGGACTCCTTCCTTGCGAACGACTGCATGAATGGCGCCACTGTGACCCTGGAAGGTGCTGAAGTGCTCCACCTATACATAAACAAACAGGATGTAAACAGGAAGACAAAAACATTAACAGACAACAAAACACCACTAATTTTCAAAAGGAGCAGAAATTTATTTTACACAGACCTGAATTAAAATTGTGAGTCCAAAAAAAAGCCTGAATATGGCTGAAATAATACACAGCAAAGTGACAAAGTGTGGAAAACCCGTTGAAACAATTTTATTTTGATTGACAGACCTCCAGTGGTTTCCAAAGCTGCACTGTGCCGTCATCAGACGCAGTGAAAACACTCATTTCTTCTGGGTTGACTTCTGTGTTCTTCTCTTTAAACCAAGGACAGAAATCTGAGGCTTGATGACTCATTATATTATACATTATGAAAGAAAAACTGGAAAGATCAACAGAATCTAACAGTATGTGTGCACTTGTAGCTGACCAGGAACGGTACCTTTGTTTGGGAGGAGAGAGCAGTGGTGTATACGCTGCCTGTGAGCAGGAATATGGCATATTTCTATGTTTGTTCCCCACATCCACACATGCAGTGCTCCCTCTGCACAGCCGGCGATCACATACTGCCCCTACACACAAAAACACCAACAATACAGTAAGTTCACCTGAGGCGAAGGATCATGTTTGTCTCACAAAAGAGAACAAAGACAAGTTGGGACTACAGTTCAGTTTCTACACTATGCCCCATCTACGGAGCTCATTTATGCCACAATACAACAATTAGCTGCAAAAAAGCTTTCCAGGAACTAGGAAAACGATGTGTTCTGTATTTCCTCAGATACACAGCTGTAAAACGTTCTCACCAGACAGCAGACAGAGTTCAGAGAACTCTTCCAGGTGATTTCTCGGAGACGCTGGCCTGTCTGCAGGTCCCACAGACAAAGTCTGCCATCGTTTGAAGAGCTAATCTGGAAAAGAAAAGAGATGCTGAGGAAGACCAGTTTGTGGAGACACAGTAATAAATCTAGTACGGTAAAAAGACTAAGGGAATAGCTCTATTTGGGTGCAGACCTGTGAAAAATATAGTGAAGACTCACCACACAGTCCTGAGTCCAAACACAGCCGGTGATCCAGTCTTTGTGAGAGTGAGGGAGCATTTTAGAAAGAACAGCAGGAGACACACTCACATCCCACACCATCAGGGCCTGAAACAGATGTTCTTAAGATTACAACACAACTAGAACCAAGTCCAAAACAGTGGTGTAGTCTTGTTATATAGACAATAGGACTCTGTACGTCTGCTCTGTGGGATGCAAAAGGATCAGTCATTTCCTAAAACAGCTGTGCACTGTAGAGTTTATCAATCATGACTCAAACTAGATGAAACAGTGCATTTGTTTGCTACTGCAGGGTCTTTTCAGCAGTGGATTAATACATATTTAGTGCTCTAGTGAGGATTTCTGACAGGACAATATATGTGAGACTGGGTCAAAACAGACAAGTTTAGTTTTCTGATAATCATGGAGGCCTGTGGCAAAAAGGAATATGATATTAGGCACACAGACAATTCATTCTTGGTTTTGGTGTTTTCATGGGAATTGTTGACAATAAGACACAAAATACTCAGAAAT